CTGCAAAAGTGCTCCAGTCAGGGTTTTATTTGCCTACTCTATTTAAAGATGCTTATAATCATGTCAGAAACTGTGATAAGTGTCAAAGGCTTGGTACTATCTCCAGACGTCATGAAATGCCATTGCAAGGCATATTAGAGGTTGAAGTCTTTGATTGCTGGGGCATCAATTTTATTGGACCTTTTCCACTGTCCTTCAAATATGAATACATATTGGTGGCAGTGGATTATGTGAGTAAATGGGCTGAAGCCTTAGCTTGTCCTAAGAATAATTCTGGCACTATTATTAAATTTCTGAAAAGGCAAATTTTCTCCCGATTTGGAACTCCCAGAGTACTCATTAGTGATGGAGGATCTCATTTTTGCAACTCTCAGCTTGCAAAGGTACTCAAGCATTATGGTGTGAGACATAAGGTAGTTACGCCTTATCATCCACAGACAAACGGGCAAGCTGAAGTTTCTAACAGGGAGATAAAGAGGATTCTGGAGAAGAGAGTTGCTTCATCACGAAAGGATTGGTCTAAGAAGTTAGATGATGCTCTTTGGGCATATTGAAAGGCAATGAAGACAACTATAAGGTTATCTCCCTTTCAAATGGTTTATGGAAAAGCATGTCATCTACCTGTGGAGATGGAGCATCGAGCACTGTGGGCCTTAAAATTCTTGAATTTTGATCCTGTTAATACTGCAGAAAAGAGGAGAAGGCAAATTATTGAGCTTGAAGAGATGCGGTTGCATGCTTATGATTCTTCCAAGAATTACAAAGAAAAGGTAAAATTTTATCATGACAGGAAGCTGGTAAAGAAGGTCTTTAATCCAGGACAGCGGGTGTTATTGTTCAATTCACGACTAAAACTTTTCCCTGGAAAGTTGAAGTCCAAGTGGTCTGGTCCATTTATAATGAAGAATGTCCTTCCTCATGGAGCAGTTGAGTTGACAGATCTACCTGCTGAAGACCCACAAAGAAGCTGCGTAGTTAGTGGACAACGTCTCAAGCATTATCTGGGTGGTGAGGTTAAACACCTTTCCACAATTATGGAGTTGGTTGATCCAGATTGAGCTTAATGGTGTCAAGCTAGTGACGTTAAAGAAGCGCTTACTGGGAGGCAACCCAACTTTCTAAACTTATCTTTTTAATTTATGTTTGTGTTTATGTTTTAGTATAGGTTATTGTACTTGGCTTGAATTAACTATGCTACAATGGTTTGATTATGCTTGGTTGTGTGATAAGTATTGCTTTATGATGCTCTACTATTGATTGATGTTGAGGTGATGCATGATGTGCTTATATACAGGTGATAGCTCACAATTTGTATGAAACAAATGCTTGAGTTAAAAAGTTAATTGAGATACTAAGAAGGATGTTTATCTGAATTCTGAACTTGAAAGTAGCTTGTGTGAGGATTGGGCTTCAGAGTTTTTTTTGTGAATAAGTGTTATTACTTTGAAAGTATGAATGATTTTGCCTAAATTTTCTGTGATTGAACTACTTGCTTGCAGGTTCCATATGATCAAGGTCATCTTTTGTTATCCCTTCTTTTTAGCCTACACAAGATTCTAGCCCATTGAAAAGAGAACAATTTGTTCTAACCTTTAAACCTTGAGCCTTAAACATGTTTTGAAAACCATTTTTGAAAATATTTACTTTGAGTTAAGTTGAGAACTGTTGATGGATTGGCAAGTGTACCAAATCGCACAAGTAATATAAAGGCTTAATTACCTACTTAGTCCCCATGTTAGGAGGTAATTTTCTGTTTAGTACCCAGTTTTAAAAATGTAGGCATTTGGTACCTATGTTTTGAAATTTGTATCAATTCAATCCTATCCAGTTAACGGCGTTATAATTGATGCGAGAAATTAAGGACGTTAATGATAGCCTGGGTGGAATAGCTATCAAATGTTTGAATGCATCTTCATTAACGTCCTTAATTTCTAGCATCAATTATAACGCCGTTAACCGGATAGGATTGAATTGATACAAATTTCAAAACATAGGTACCAAATGCCTACATTTTTAAATCCGGGTACTAAACAGAAAATTACCTCCTAACATGGGGACTAAGTAGGTAATTAAGCCTAATATAAAATGGTAAGACCAAGTATCGTATCCCAGAAGACTCTCGGCACTAGACAGTTGTGTGATGACTCAACTAATTAAGACTTAAATAAAACGAAATCAGTGGTTTAAGATGCAAGAACAGAAAATTAAATATGAATGCAGTTTGATCACTAGCAGAGTAACACAAAGATGAGCGGATATTGTTTATAATGAGATGAGTATGTTGTTAGGGTTAGATTTCACCAAGTTCCCTCTCATGTATGTAAGAATTCTTCTTTATGAATTAATGTTAACGTCACTCACTAAATCACCTAAACCCGATCCCTCGGCGAATAAGCCTGTCCTTAACCACCACTTCATGCAATTCCTAGCATTCCAAGCAATTAAATGTGAAGATCAAGAGTTTAAGATGATCAAGACTCATACCCTCATCCTTAAGAAATATTACTCTTGGGAGAATTCAACGAGAACCTGAATTGTAAGGAACCTCCCGGCACTCATGCAATTCATAAATCATGCAATGAATGAGTTAAAAAAAGCATGTAATAAGCACAGATGAATTACTCTAACAATTAATGAAAAAACATATGGAATTAATAATCAATTCAAATACATGAGAGTTCACAAGGTTACATCATTCCCTAACAACAAATAGAGTTTAGTTCCCCATGCACATAGAGAAACTAGATGAATAATGGAAAGCATGAGATAGCAAAACCCTAAAAGTAGAGGAAGGACGCTTTCGCATCCAAATCCGCCTTCAGAGAGTGGAAGAGTGTGATGTTGTGCTGCTCCAGCTAGAGATGCAAAACCTAGGACGCTTGGGTCCTTTAAATAGGGCGAAGAAAAAACAGAAACAAAGCCCAAGCCCGAGAGAATGGCGCTCAAGTGCCCCACTTAGGGCGCCTGGGCGGCGAGCGGTGGTCTTCCATGCTCAAGCCTCGTAGAGGTCGCCCAAGCCTTATACATCCGGCGCTTAAGCGCCCCATAAGGGGCGCCCGGGCGGTGAGCGGTGGTTTGCTGTGCTCAAGCCTCCAAAAAGGGCGCCCAAGCCTCGATCTTCCTTCCTTCTGGTGCTTTTTCAGGACCTTTTTGAGCTCTATCTCCTTAGCACTTTATCCCTGCTTTCCATATTAACACATTTTCTATCAAAACAAAGGGAATTAGTCATAAAATCATCAAATTCAACCTCAACTCTCTTATTCACACAACTTAACAGAAAAACATGATTCCAAACAAGTTTCTAAGCAGAAAAGGGTGTATTTAGTACCAAAATTACATCACAGATAACGGTATTTTCAACCGTTAACAACAGTAAAAGCACATAATCCTTGCTCTTCAAGTTATCTCCAAAGATGAACACCACGGTCTTCTTTAAGAGTTCTTGGAGCTTTTCCCAAATTTATAAGACAACACTAATCTGGAAATTATCACATAATTCGTTAGATTCTCAAAACTTCTAATAGAATTCAAATTTGCGTCAATATATAGTTTTTCACAATTCTGACACTCTTCAGTTGACTTTGCCACTAATGAAATCGAATACAGTCATGATAGTTATAACAGTTAGTAGCAGTTATAGCAATTAATTGATTACGCAATTAATGCAATTGATTCACAATTAATGCTTGGTCAAACATATTTAAGAGTATAGTCGTTAGACACTTTAAGACAAGCATTAACAGAATTTCAAAACATAACAAACTTAGTCGAATGGCTTGCGCACATAGTCGACTTTGTAAAAGTTAAAATCATAGTTTTGAAAAACTTTCTCTTCATAAAATTCTCACAGCACACTTTGAAAAAGTTTGTGCAAAGCCACAAGTTTTAATCGACTTACTTCATAATGAAGTCGACTTAAAACTGTTGTTTTGCTACACAATTTAAGTTCAACTAAAGTGCATGTGGTTTTTCTTTTCCAAAACAATTTTCATGCAATCACAAATTAAATCTCACATATATAACATAGTGAATTGCAATGATCAACACAACACAAACATGTTCTCATATAATCATAATCATGAAAGTAATGAACATGTAACACATAAACACATGTGTTATTAATTATGTGTTGTCATCATCAAAAACCAGAAGCTCTGAGATTGTAGGTTCAGCTAAACCAGTGCTCCCCCTATCAACAATCTCCCCCTTTTTTGATGATGCACAACCATGATTAATAAACAACCATGTTGTACACAACAATACAGATTATCAAACAAATATCAATCCATATATCAGTATAATTCTCCCCCTTTTGGCATTAGAAAAAAAGTATGCAAACTGGTATTGATATTCAGATAATCAATTATTTCAAAGATGCATCAATAAAGCATAAAGCAAACACAGATGCTCCCCTTGTCACAGATAATCACATAAGAAAGAATGTACTCTCCCCCTTAAGTATAGGCATGTGAAATATCTAAAAAATATGTAATGCTCCCCCAGTCATTATGCATGTTTCATATTCAAAACCCAGATGCACAATGTAGTATTCATAGAATATAACAGAGCATTTATTGACATTTGACAGATTTGTATTAGTTAGAAAACATGTAAGCATATCATAGCAATATCAATACAACAATCTCAGTATAATCTCTCAAACATTTCAATCAATTATAACACAGAGATATAACAGATATGAAACAATCAATAGTATGTAATCAATAAAGAGATAACAATATTCCAACTCATGGAATATTTTTTAACCCTTGTTCACCACAGTCGATTGTCCTAAATTCATAGTCAACTTCATTGCTTTTTATTAGAGTTGAATCTTCAGTATTGTTTATCCAGAAGCAATGTTCCTGCAAAAACCTTTCAAGATCCTTTCCAGATCAAGCATTTTAGAATCATATTAATGCAAGAATTACTACAATTATAATATGCATGTGTAAATGTATGAATGCAACAATAATCAATAATACATTCAACTTNAAGAGATGCGGTTGCATGCTTATGATTCTTCCAAGAATTACAAAGAAAAGGTAAAATTTTATCATGACAGGAAGCTGGTAAAGAAGGTCTTTAATCCAGGACAGCGGGTGTTATTGTTCAATTCACGACTAAAACTTTTCCCTGGAAAGTTGAAGTCCAAGTGGTCTGGTCCATTTATAATGAAGAATGTCCTTCCTCATGGAGCAGTTGAGTTGACAGATCTACCTGCTGAAGACCCACAAAGAAGCTGCGTAGTTAGTGGACAACGTCTCAAGCATTATCTGGGTGGTGAGGTTAAACACCTTTCCACAATTATGGAGTTGGTTGATCCAGATTGAGCTTAATGGTGTCAAGCTAGTGACGTTAAAGAAGCGCTTACTGGGAGGCAACCCAACTTTCTAAACTTATCTTTTTAATTTATGTTTGTGTTTATGTTTTAGTATAGGTTATTGTACTTGGCTTGAATTAACTATGCTACAATGGTTTGATTATGCTTGGTTGTGTGATAAGTATTGCTTTATGATGCTCTACTATTGATTGATGTTGAGGTGATGCATGATGTGCTTATATACAGGTGATAGCTCACAATTTGTATGAAACAGATGCTTGAGTTAAAAAGTTAATTGAGATACTAAGAAGGATGTTTATCTGAATTCTGAACTTGAAAGTAGCTTGTGTGAGGATTGGGCTTCAGAGTTTTTTTTGTGAATAAGTGTTATTACTTTGAAAGTATGAATGATTTTGCCTAAATTTTCTGTGATTGAACTACTTGCTTGCAGGTTCCATATGATCAAGGTCATCTTTTGTTATCCCTTCTTTTTAGCCTACACAAGATTCTAGCCCATTGAAAAGAGAACAATTTGTTCTAACCTTTAAACCTTGAGCCTTAAACATGTTTTGAAAACCATTTTTGAAAATATTTACTTTGAGTTAAGTTGAGAACTGTTGATGGATTGGCAAGTGTACCAAATCGCACAAGTAATATAAAGGCTTAATTACCTACTTAGTCCCCATGTTAGGAGGTAATTTTCTGTTTAGTACCCAGTTTTAAAAATGTAGGCATTTGGTACCTATGTTTTGAAATTTGTATCAATTCAATCCTATCCAGTTAACGGCGTTATAATTGATGCGAGAAATTAAGGACGTTAATGATAGCCTGGGTGGAATAGCTATCAAATGTTTGAATGCATCTTCATTAACGTCCTTAATTTCTAGCATCAATTATAACGCCGTTAACCGGATAGGATTGAATTGATACAAATTTCAAAACATAGGTACCAAATGCCTACATTTTTAAATCCGGGTACTAAACAGAAAATTACCTCCTAACATGGGGACTAAGTAGGTAATTAAGCCTAATATAAAATGGTAAGACCAAGTATCGTATCCCAGAAGACTCTCGGCACTAGACAGTTGTGTGATGACTCAACTAATTAAGACTTAAATAAAACGAAATCAGTGGTTTAAGATGCAAGAACAGAAAATTAAATATGAATGCAGTTTGATCACTAGCAGAGTAACACAAAGATGAGCGGATATTGTTTATAATGAGATGAGTATGTTGTTAGGGTTAGATTTCACCAAGTTCCCTCTCATGTATGTAAGAATTCTTCTTTATGAATTAATGTTAACGTCACTCACTAAATCACCTAAACCCGATCCCTCGGCGAATAAGCCTGTCCTTAACCACCACTTCATGCAATTCCTAGCATTCCAAGCAATTAAATGTGAAGATCAAGAGTTTAAGATGATCAAGACTCATACCCTCATCCTTAAGAAATATTACTCTTGGGAGAATTCAACGAGAACCTGAATTGTAAGGAACCTCCCGGCACTCATGCAATTCATAAATCATGCGATGAATGAGTTAAACAAAGCATGTAATAAGCACAGATGAATTACTCTAACAATTAATGAAAAAACATATGGAATTAATAATCAATTCAAATACATGAGAGTTCACAAGGTTACATCATTCCCTAACAACAAATAGAGTTTAGTTCCCCATGCACATAGAGAAACTAGATGAATAATGGAAAGCATGAGATAGCAAAACCCTAAAAGTAGAGGAAGGACGCTTTCGCATCCAAATCCGCCTTCAGAGAGTGGAAGAGTGTGATGTTGTGCTGCTCCAGCTAGAGATGCAAAACCTAGGACGCTTGGGTCCTTTAAATAGGGCGAAGAAAAAACAGAAACAAAGCCCAAGCCCGAGAGAATGGCGCTCAAGTGCCCCACTTAGGGCGCCTGGGCGGCGAGCGGTGGTCTTCCATGCTCAAGCCTCGTAGAGGTCGCCCAAGCCTTATACATCCGGCGCTTAAGCGCCCCATAAGGGGCGCCCGGGCGGTGAGCGGTGGTTTGCTGTGCTCAAGCCTCCAAAAAGGGCGCCCAAGCCTCGATCTTCCTTCCTTCTGGTGCTTTTTCAGGACCTTTTTGAGCTCTATCTCCTTAGCACTTTATCCCTGCTTTCCATATTAACACATTTTCTATCAAAACAAAGGGAATTAGTCATAAAATCATCAAATTCAACCTCAACTCTCTTATTCACACAACTTAACAGAAAAACATGATTCCAAACAAGTTTCTAAGCAGAAAAGGGTGTATTTAGTATCAAAATTACATCACAGATAACGGTATTTTCAACCGTTAACAACAGTAAAAGCACATAATCCTTGCTCTTCAAGTTATCTCCAAAGATGAACACCACGGTCTTCTTTAAGAGTTCTTGGAGCTTTTCCCAAATTTATAAGACAACACTAATCTGGAAATTATCACATAATTCGTTAGATTCTCAAAACTTCTAATAGAATTCAAATTTGCGTCAATATATAGTTTTTCACAATTCTGACACTCTTCAGTTGACTTTGCCACTAATGAAATCGAATACAGTCATGATAGTTATAACAGTTAGTAGCAGTTATAGCAATTAATTGATTACGCAATTAATGCAATTGATTCACAATTAATGCTTGGTCAAACATATTTAAGAGTATAGTCGTTAGACACTTTAAGACAAGCATTAACAGAATTTCAAAACATAACAAACTTAGTCGAATGGCTTGCGCACATAGTCGACTTTGTAAAAGTTAAAATCATAGTTTTGAAAAACTTTCTCTTCATAAAATTCTCACAGCACACTTTGAAAAAGTTTGTGCAAAGCCACAAGTTTTAATCGACTTACTTCATAATGAAGTCGACTTAAAACTGTTGTTTTGCTACACAATTTAAGTTCAACTAAAGTGCATGTGGTTTTTCTTTTCCAAAACAATTTTCATGCAATCACAAATTAAATCTCACATATATAACATAGTGAATTGCAATGATCAACACAACACAAACATGTTCTCATATAATCATAATCATGAAAGTAATGAACATGTAACACATAAACACATGTGTTATTAATTATGTGTTGTCATCATCAAAAACCAGAAGCTCTGAGATTGTAGGTTCAGCTAAACCAGTGCTCCCCCTATCAACAATCTCCCCCTTTTTTGATGATGCACAACCATGATTAATAAACAACCATGTTGTACACAACAATACAGATTATCAAACAAATATCAATCCATATATCAGTATAATTCTCCCCCTTTTGGCATTAGAAAAAAAGTATGCAAACTGGTATTGATATTCAGATAATCAATTATTTCAAAGATGCATCAATAAAGCATAAAGCAAACACAGATGCTCCCCTTGTCACAGATAATCACATAAGAAAGAATGTACTCTCCCCCTTAAGTATAGGCATGTGAAATATCTAAAAAATATGTAATGCTCCCCCAGTCATTATGCATGTTTCATATTCAAAACCCAGATGCACAATGTAGTATTCATAGAATATAACAGAGCATTTATTGACATTTGACAGATTTGTATTAGTTAGAAAACATGTAAGCATATCATAGCAATATCAATACAACAATCTCAGTATAATCTCTCAAACATTTCAATCAATTATAACACAGAGATATAACAGATATGAAACAATCAATAGTATGTAATCAATAAAGAGATAACAATATTCCAACTCATGGAATATTTTTTAACCCTTGTTCACCACAGTCGATTGTCCTAAATTCATAGTCAACTTCATTGCTTTTTATTAGAGTTGAATCTTCAGTATTGTTTATCCAGAAGCAATGTTCCTGCAAAAACCTTTCAAGATCCTTTCCAGATCAAGCATTTTAGAATCATATTAATGCAAGAATTACTACAATTATAATATGCATGTGTAAATGTATGAATGCAACAATAATCAATAATACATTCAACTTAATACATAACACAATTGATTATAATCAGATTAAGTCACGATTATAGTACTGATTTATGACAAACAAAATATATGATTTCATTAATATTGATCTGTAATTACAATCAGATAACCAAAACACAATATGGCATAAGAAGTCAACTACAAACTAACACACAAAACAATAAGCAAGTATCTAGAAACACACAACCTAAACACAAGACAATCAAAATGTATGACACTAGACTGTAAACACAAGACCCCTATTGTGTTTCAGATGACCCTATAATCTTTTCTTCAGCACTGTTCTTTCCACTTTCAAAATCATAAATAGAAGTATCTCCAAAAACATTTATTCTCAGTGCATAGTCAATCTTCCGATGCAGCTCATTGAATGATCTTTGAGGCATCATCATTTTCTCGTCAAGTCTTTTGAATCTTTCATCCACAAATTCTTCAAATCTTGTTTGAGGCCAAAATTCATATCTTGATGAATCAATATTTATAGGATTCATTTCATCAATACCAGGAATGTACTCATCCTTGAATATCTAGCCTTCCTTTCCTTTTCGGAAACCCACAGAGTCTAAGAACAACTCTTCTAAAACATTATTCTTATTGCAGCAAATTGTTCTTTCATGTGTGATATCCACATTCTGCATTCTCAAAATTTTACTTATGAACACTTCATATGGTAGATGATACTTCTTTTGTTTCGCAAACTTTAACATATAATCACTTATCACCAAAGACCAATCCGTTTGAGTACTAGTTTGCAATGCATAAAGCAGGTACACATCTTCACCATTCAATATGGATCGATCCTCACCCCTTGGAAGTAGAATCCAGGTGATCATGCATGCGCATAAGCATTCTTCTTTGCATAAATTCTTAATATCAAAGGATTCATATTTCCCTACCATGATAGGATTTTTCAAGAAGTTATTGTTGATATCAGTATTGTAGAATCCTGGTATCCCATGATGTGCATTCAGTCCTTCTGGTTGAAATCCCACTACATACTTCCAGATGGAATAATAAATACTTATCTTCACACCCTTTACTCTGGATGTGAGACAATTTCCC